CTATTATATTTATATTTATATTATATCATCGATATTATATTTATATATATATATTATATCATCGATATTATATTTATATTTATATTGTGTCATCGCTATTATATTTATATTAATATTATATCATCGATATTATATTTATATATATATATTATATCACATCGATATTATATATTTATATTTATATCATATCATCGACATTATTCGACATTACATCGACGACAATAACACAAAAAATAACAAAATATCAACAATACTTAATAAAACTATATTTCGTTGAAATATACATTTTTTCGTATCGAAGAAATTCGCCGAGAACGCGAGAAGTTTCGGAAATTCTTGCGAGACGATGGAACGGCGAAAGGGTTAATCGGACAACAATGAACGCTTATGGCCGCCGTCGCGTCGTTAACTCTCATTGTCGACGGGGAAAACAAAAGCCGGGTCCGGGTAAAGGCCGGCGAAAATTTTCGCCTTAGCGAGCTGATCCGGATGAAACGTAGCCAAGGCGGGGTTCGGAAGAGGAGGAGGAGGAGTAGGCGCGATCGGCGTTAAAGAAAAAAGCAAAAGCTGTCGTTTTCTTCCATAAGTTTGCGGGCTCGGTGGATGCGCGTGCGTGAGAGAGCCGGCCTCGATCGATGTGTAGAAATGCACGAGGTATATACGGGGTCCACATGGAGCCGCCAGGAGAACCATCCTCTCCTTTTTCTCTTCGTTGTCTCCCTCTCTCTCTCTCTCTCTCTCTCCCCCCTTTCTGTTCCGTTCCCTTCCCCGAAACCGTCTCCGAAATCTTCGATGTATAGCCGAGCTTCCCGATTTCTCGGTTCTCTTCTCTTTCGATTTCTTGGTTTCGCGATTCCGCGATTTCTTGGTTTCGCGATTTCGCGATTTCTTAGATTTGTGATTTCTTAGTTTCGCGATTTCTCAGTTTCGCGATTCCTCGGTTTCGCGATTTCTCAGTTTCGCGATTTCTCGGTTTCGCGATTCCTCGATTTCGCGATTTCTCGGTTTCGCGATTTCGCAATTCCTCGATTTCGCGATTTCTCAGCTTCGCGATTTCTCAGTTTCGCGATTTCTCGGTTTCGCGATTTCGCAATTCCTCGATTTCGCGATTTCTCAGCTTCGCGATTTCTCAGTTTCGCGATTTCTCGGTTTCGCGATTTCGCAATTCCTCGATTTCGCGATTTCTCGGTTTCGCGATTCCTCGATTTCGCGATTTCTCAGCTTCGCGATTTCTCGGTTTCGCGATTTCGCGATTTCTCAGTTTCGCGATTTCTCAGCTTCGCAATTCCTCGATTTCGCAATTTCTCGATTTCGCGATTTCTCAGCTTCGCGATTCCTGAGCTTCGCGATTTCTCAGCATCGCGATTTCTCGGCCGACCGAGGTTTCCCCGAATCGTCGGCCCATCGACGGCGAAATTGAATAAGTTGCCACCTTGAATCACGAGTACACCGAACACGGGAGATCCTCGGGAAGGATTCGGGGTCAGCCCCGCTGAATAATTCAGCAGGGGATCGGCCGAATATCGGGAACCGAGGGGAATACAGCACGTTTTTCTATAATGGAATATACAATTTTCATTGTAAGATCCGGTGCCCGGTGCCGGACGGGATCCCTCTGTCCTCCGAGTGGACGATTCAATCGAGTTATTTTCAACCCTTTGTTGGCGCGCCGGGCTCGCGAAGTCACCCCGTTATTGCGTTTCTTGTTAATATAATATTCGTATTAATAATAGATATATTCGTATTCATTCGAGGAATCCCGCTTGTCTTATCTTCTTTCTTTTTACTTATCCTATACTCTGTATCGAGTCATCGCGTACTCTGTACTTCTTTTACGATAATAATAATAATAATAATAATAATAATAATAATTTTTTTGGAGGGAAGTGGAAAAATCTTTAACAAGATACTCGGGGCATTATTAATATTATTAATAATAATAATAATAATAATAATTTTGGAGGGAAGTGGAAAAATCTTTAACAAGATACTCGGGGCATTATTAATATTATTAATAATAATAATAATAATAATAATTTTGGAGGGAAGTGGAAAAATCTTTAACAAGATACTCGGGGCATTATTAATATTAATAATAATAATAATAATAATTTTTTTGGAGGGAAGTGGAAAAATCTTTAACAAGATACTCGGGGCATTATTAATATTAATAATAATAATAATAATAATTTTTTTGGAGGGCAGTGGAAAAATCTTTAACAAGATACTCGGGGCATTATTAATATTAATAATAATTATAATAATAATAATAATAATTATAATTATAATAATTTTGGAGGGAAGTGGAAAAATCTTTAACAAGATACTCGGGGCATTATTAATATTAATAATAATTATAATAATAATAATAATAATAAATAATCTCTGTACTTCTATATAATATATTACATTCAAGCAAGTGATAAATATTCTCATTAATTTAAGGAACCGCGGTTATCTTATCTTATCTTTTTCTTTCTCTTCTATCTTAAATCTGGTAAATTTCGTCCGTCATTCCGACCGCTGCTTACTTATTCGACTCTCCGTCCCTCCACCACCTCCCAAGCCTCTGTCCCAGTAAAGTGATTTTCCAGATGACGGTGTTATGGTGGGCCATAGTATCAATTACACGCCGGTTACCCCCTTAACGGCCGCATAAATTCGCCGATATCGAGTACGAAACCACTTGAACACGACGGATATAGAATGGCCGCCGGTTCCTACGTGTGCGTCGATGATTCGCCGGAACGCGCGTCATTTCGAACGACCGTACGGAATTATTCTTCTCTAGATCGCCGACGTTTCGATCCTCGAACGCCACTCGAACCGCGCGGCAACGAATCGCGAATTACAGTAAAATCTCCCTAATCGGCGCGACGGATCGCGCACAAGAATGAACAATTTCGGAGCGGGGGATACGGTTGTTCGAGCCTTGCGGCTCGTTTTTTATAGTCGCCGGGGTCGCGTCGACGACTACAGGGTCTCCCGAAGAAATGTCTCGCAGAGTCCGGAAATGGGAGATTCCTGGGATCACATTCGAAGCAACTTTTTTCCTTAGCGAGAGAGCAATTTTTATGGAGAATAGAAATTGTCTATATAGCTGTCTTTGTACGATTATTTATATAATTAAATAAATTTATAAATTAAATTAATTATAAGTTATGTCAAGGTTATGTCAAGGTTATTATATATATATTATATATTATTATATAATATTATATATATAAATATTAATATATAAAATATATATATAAAATATTAATATATTAATATATAATATATAATATTAATATATAATATATAATATTATATATATATATATTATATATTAAATAAATTTATATAATTATATAAATAAATATACAGACAAGCTATATAGCTATCGTTAGCTGCAAGAAGCAGGAACTAAATAGCGAGTTAATAATTTGTCTATAATATCGTTTCAAATTACAGTAATGTCTCCCTAACTGACGCTCGGATTGCCCCAAAAAATGGACAATTTGGGAAGAGGAGATACCGTTCTTCGAGTGCAAGGATCGAATAATCGTCTCTCTTCTCCCTATATTGTCCATTTTCGTGGACAATCAGAGCGGTCAATTAGAGAGACATTACTGTAGTTCCAAGCAACGGTGATTCGAGGGTAAATAAATCAACGCGAAGAAATATTCCCATCGCCGGAAAAGTCGCCGGGCAATCGCGTTGGTAATCGCGCGCAGGGAACAACATTCTTTTCCCCATAAAAAAGATGTCTACCTATCCATAACTCTTTGGACAGTTTGCCTAGCGTGTCGCCAGTAGTACAGAAGCAGAATTAGTCTGTCATAAACAGTCCGTATCTGACTCTTCTCCCCGTGAAACGTTCATCGCGAGAGAGAGTGCGAGCGAGAGAGAGAGAGAGAGAGAGAGCAGCTCGTCAAGGAACGCTTAATGACGCTTCACACTTGAAAATATAGGGCGTAGCGACAGTAGCTAATAAATTTCTCGGTTTACGAGTTTTTACTATTCTCCTTTTTCTTCCCTTCCTCCGTCGGCCGCCTCACCCCTTCGGTTCCCGTGGTCCTTTTTATTTTGGACCACCTCGACGCTCTGCCACGTTGTCGCGCCGCGTCCGACTTCGTTATTTTCGTTTCTTGCTGGTTCACACGTTGACGGTACGGCTGGATTGCAGCTTGCTCTCGTCTCAGGGATTGTTTAACCCTCGTAGGATGCACCGTTTGCTCGCTAGACAGCCTCGAATCCTTGCGCAATCCCCGTTTGTTGTGCGTCGATCAACTTGCTTCCGGTGGGCCCGTTTTCTTGTTCGATGTTTCTGCTCACCTTTGATCTTCTTGGTCGACCTTGATCTTCTTATTTTTCCATATTCTTCTCTTCTTTCTTCTTCCTTTTCTCTTCTTTTTCTTCTTTTTCTCTTCTTTCTTTTTCTCTTCTTTCTCTTTCTTCTTTTCCTCTTCTTTCTCTTTCTTCTTTCCCTCTTCTTTCTCTTTCTTCTTTTCCTCTTCTTTCTTTTTCTTCTTTTCCTCTTCTTTCTCTTTCTTCTTTTCCTCTTTCTCTTTCTTCTTTTTCTCTTCTTTCTCTTTCTTCTTTTTCTCTTCTTTCTCTTTCTTCTTTTCCTCTTCTTTCTCTTTCTTCTTTTTCTCTTCTTTCTCTTTCTTCTTTTCCTCTTCTTTCTCTTTCTTCTTTCCCTCTTCTTTCTTTTTCTTCTTTTCCTCTTCTTTCTCTTTCTTCTTTTCCTCTTCTTTCTCTTTCTTCTTTTCCCCTTCTTTCTTTTCCTACATCTTCATACCAATCTTAACCCTCCGAGTGCTGACTTAATTGAGAAAGCATAGTAAAAGAAACATCAACTTTCTTCTCTTTTTCTTATCATTTTTATGCCTTTAAGTCGCCGGTTCACGTTACGTTTCTGTAATTAGAATGATATCACATTATATTCGTATTAATCGATCGTGCAACGATCGTGGTAGTAGACCGTCCGTGTAATTCTTCCTTCTGGATTGTTGCAGAGACCTAACGAACAACAACATAACAGACATTCCAGTCCGTGCCTTCCATCGAATTTCCAACATCGAAGTCTTGTAAGTACCTATCTGCAAAAGAAGATTACGAAATTATAGCTCTGGTTATTAGATTATTATTATTAAGTCCATTTAATTTTTCATTACTTTTTTAAGCGTCGATTAGGGAGAATTCACTGCGAACAGAAACGAAGAATTTGGGATCAGGAGACGCGATTATCCGGGTCTCGCGACTCGTTTATCATAGTTATCGACAATCGGCGACTATAAATACCATAAAGATAATCGTATCTCCTCTTCCGAAATTTAAGTAAATTTTAATAAAAGAGTTTACTATAATTCGCGGATGAATCATGCGGTGATCATCTGAATCATCTCTCTCTCTCTGTTTTCAGGCTACTCCGACGAAACCGTCTGCAGACGATCGCCGACGATGCGTTCACGAACTTAACGAGCCTTCGAGTATTGTGAGTGTCCCGACCGAGATCGAAACCGAAACGAACGCGCGTCGCATGTTCTTGCGAGATCAAAAAAGAAAGCCGAAAAGAAAAAAAGAAAATAGAAAATAAGAACGAGAAAACGCGTCGGATCGCGTTTTCGGTTCCGTAAACGGGGGCCCAGAAGTTTCGAAACAAAAACGATGGGAATCTCGGCGAGCGTAACGAATTACGTGCGCGGCTGCTGGACAACAGTTCTCTAATTCTTCTCTGATTTGTAGGGAGCTCGATGACAATTATTTAACAAAAATTCCGACCGCGATCGTAAACCTCTCCGGCCTTGAAGACCTGTAAGTGTGCATCGATTAAGTAAAATGTAATTTGACAACTTTTTTTTACATTCTACGACACAACCATTCTCTTCCTATTCTACACATATACATATACATATATATGTATACTACTGCACTGTATGTTACATATGTATATGTATATGTACATGTATATGTATATCGGGTGTCTCGTCTGTCCAGAATCAAGCTCTCGGAGATCATTCTCCGATGTGTTCTTCTCGCATGCTTTCGCGATCGCGTCATTTCTCCCGTCGAAAATCCGATCGCCATTTTGTCGGTACCTCGGCCCGCGCCATTTTGTCGGCACCTTGGCCCGCGCCATTTTGCGTTCACGGTCGAACGATACCGATCCGGATAATCCGAGGCGGCAGAGATATCATCGATAAAAAGAATTCGACTCGCTGCTTTATTGTACATTATTGTAATAATATGATAGTGTTATGTATAATATTAATGTGTACAGAGAATGTTAGATAAATAAAATCATAAGAAATAGCACAGACATTACAGAATGCAATAAATGACAGAACAATAAAATAGTATAAACAATAAAATACAGAATAATTGCATATAAGAACATTCCCGAATAAATAAATAACGAGCTAAACAACCAGCTAAATAACTAGATAAATGAGTGAACGATGAAAGTAGAACGCAAAGTGGCGGGGGACAGGGCCGATAGAACGCAAACGTTGAAAAATCGTTGAAGAGATCGCGTGCGCTTGTACATACAGTCGCGTTCTTTAGTTCGCTTGTTTCTCCGTCGAATTGGATAATCGAAGAAAATCGTATCCGTTTATGTTCCGTCCGATTCCGTAGGTCCCTGTCGAACAACAAGATCGAGGCGCTGGACGGCCCGGTGTTCCGGCGGCTCGCTAATCTGTTGTCGCTGGATCTGCGCGGGAATCCGATCAAGGAGATCCACGGGGACGCTTTTCGGGATCTACGGAAGCTCCGTAAGCTGTGAGTACGACGGCGATGCTGCCGGCTTCTTTTTTACGTCCCTCCCAACGGGGGTGGGGTCATTATTCGGGTGCCGGGGGCTGCTCTTCTCCGTTAACCCTTTCGCTCCGAACGACGGATATATCCGTCATCCATATGAACACTCGCGGAGCCGAACGCCGGATATATCCGACATGCTGGTAAAATCGCGACCTAATTTTTGGACTGCACCGCCTCTTGTTACTATTGCGTGAATCTTTTGACGAAACAAACAAACGACAGTCCGAAATAAACGACACACCATTCAAGTTATATTTGTTCTACCCGCATTTCCCATTATTATTGTGTTACATGTCATAAAGGGATAGAAAATCGAAAGTACTAACTTTAGGACTAATTATTATGTATTATGTTTTGTATTATGAATATTATGTTTTATTTTATTACTGTATATTATATATTATTTCTTCACTTTTTCCATTGTTAATGAAACCTTTTTTACCTATTAAATAACTTTATATCTTATGCAGAAATTATAACTATATTGTTTTAAAGAAAAATCCCTTTTCTTCCCAAATACACTATCCACGCGCAATGTGCACAATTTCGGCGGGTGGTTCCGTTCAGGAGGGGCGCTACGGCGGACTGAACCGCCGTAGCGAAAGGGTTAACACGTTCCGTGCCGCGTGTACCATCCATGGTACACGCTTGCATGTTTACTCAGTGAACCGAACAAATTGTTTACAAGAAATTTAGAACCGAAGAATCAATTTCCACCGCAAGAATGGGCGTTGATAAGTTTTTGTTACGTTGTTACGTGTACGAGAATTAATAACTGCACGTAATACATCGAGTTTTAGTAAAATATCAAAGCGTGAAGATTCGAGTAAAAAAAGCTCGGCACGGAACGCGTTGATCGAACACGAAGGGAATTATTATCCGAGATCTCCGCACCCTCTGCACCCTCTTGACGCACCCTGTGCTCGGAACGGGGTCCTCGGGGGTAGCTCGATCCGACTGGAAGCGGCGAATCGCGCGCCGCTCGTGGATAATCCGCTCGAGGAGCACGTAGAGCGCAGCAACCCCCGGCCCCCCGGGGCTTATCGAGATCAGGCGAGATATCAGTTGGTAACGATCTGTCCGTTTCGCAGGATCCTCTCGAACCTGAAGGAGTTACGGATATTCCCGGATCTGAACGGCACACGGTCGTTGGAGGTGTTGAGATTAGACCGGGCCCAGATCAAGGACGTGCCGGGGAATCTCTGCGAGAGCTGCCCGAGATTGAAAAGTCTGTGAGTATGCCACGAACACGTCGTCCACTGCCGCACCGCTTCCAGAGGGTGCTTCATGGTTTCTGCTTTCAGCGACCTGAAGTCGAATTACCTGGCGGAGATGCCGAACCTGCGGAACTGCAGCGAGCTAAGAGTTCTGTAAGCATTGTTGCTGTTATTATTATTTCATTTCGATTTTAATGTTGTCTTAAGTTAAGTGTAATGTAAATTATATTATGATATGCAGTAATATATATTTATTATTAATATATTGGATATAATATATTATTTGTTATATTATTATTATATTTATTATACTATTTAGTATATATGCAATATATATTCTATCTATTATAATTAATATAATATAAATGATTAAATTACATCAGGTGTTACGACATTAAATTGTTATAGCATTAAATTACACCAGATGGTAAATAAAAAACTGTTTTAGTTAGATTCGACGGTTCGGGTTCGTTTTTTTATTATTATACTATTATTACATTTATTATATATATATATACTATGTAGTATATATGCAATATA